TCAGGATAAGAATCAGTTATCACTGGCATTTATGAAACAGCAGCACAACACAATGAAAATCACTTGGTTGGTTGCTCACCAAGGATTTGGCATCGCCACAAGTGGTCATCTTCTTCTGCAGCTGTCGCCAGCGCAAGCTCTTCAGACATGATGTGCAACGCCCCACTGCCAGGCTTGGCCTGGAAAAGAGCAACTTTTTTAACGCAACGACACAAAGGAGAAATTGAGTATAACAGAAGTAGATAGGAGGGACATTTATGGTGATCGATGAGAGGGAAAGATGATAAGGTGTCTCAAGTGAATGGAAAGCGCAAAGGATAAGAAGATTGAGGTAGGTAGGAGGCTTTGAGTGGGCATGCTGTATGCAATATTGAAGGTTGCAGCCCATTAGCTTTGGTGAGAGGTGTGTGCAGTGCCAGAGTTAAAATGAGTAATGGTGGCTCTGTAAGTCTAAGACAGCAGAGAGAAAATGGTGGCACTTACCCTTGTGTTGAGTACAAGGGTATTAACTATCTTTCAGCACAGTTGAGCACTGAGTTTCATCCTGCACTGATCTGAGCTGTTACTCTATCCTGGCTGGCTTGACCTCCTTTGGCAATGTCGAGGAAACGACACTGTCATTATCTCAATCAGCCCATATCCAACAGAACCTCCAATAGCCTGTCAGAGAAACTGGGCACCAGCTTCTCTTTCTGCGCCATGTCCTCCAAGATAACAGCAAATGGGACATTGGGAGAGGTCATTCCTGACTTATGATGTATGAAGCAGTGTGGACCTGGTATTAAATGTGGCACCAGCAGCACCAACAGTGCAATGTCCTGGCAGCAGTGAACACTTCTGCCTCTCTTGCAGCATGATTCCATGAGCTGGACACTGTAGAGACCAGGATGCATTAATAAGCAGCTAAAGAGCAGATGATTGCATGAGAAAATTCGACCTAGGTAATAGCATACCACCCATCATCAGTCTCACTAAAAAAGAACACTTTGCCAAAAAATAGGGAAATTCAGTTAATGGGATCTGAAATGGAAGAGAATTTATTTGTGCGCACTGCTTTTGATACAAGTTGCCAGCGTTGACCATGAGCCTGATCTCCAGCAGTCCTCCCAGTGTCAGAAACCTGGGTGTTTCTTCCTTGACCAGCTGCAGGGACATATGACATGCTCACTGGATTGTACTCCCAAATCTAATCTAAATAAGATAATGACCAAGATGAATGTTTTTGAGCCGGTGAGGGTTGCAAGTTAAACTCTTGCTAGTGCACCCTCTGTGGGTTGACTGACTTCCTCCTCAGAGGTGGAAGTTGAGCTGAGAGTAGGCAGCGTTGGTCTCCTCCTCGTAACTCCATCAGTCCCTCTGGTACCTCAGAAGATAAAAGAAGGACTTAGTTGTGAAAAAGGGGTAAAATCTGTTCCGGATAAGAATCAGTTATCACTGGCATTTATGAAACAGCAGCACAACACAATGTAACTCACTTGGTTGGTTGCTCACCAAGGGCTTGGCATCCCCACAGCTCTATGCTGCATGTTTACATACATGACGGCAACATGCAGCCACTGCTAAGCACACTGTTGAGTGGCATGTCTTCGCAGGGTGCCTAAAATTGTGAGCAGCTAGCTCTGTGAAAGGGGAGGTACATTATGGCTGGTAAAATCATTTTGAAAAATGCAATAACGGCCACAAGATTCTACACCACAACATTGCATATTCTGATCAGGGAGGTATAGAGGTACAACGAGAACCAGTACTGTGCTTATACAGCAGCTTTAAAAGAAAGCAAAATATCCCAAAGCACTTTGCAGGATCATTATAAAAACAAAGTAACCAGGGACTGGAAATTGTGACCAGGTCTTATATCCAAGCTGATTATGGCTTTTCAAATACTTGGCTAGTGTTCCAAATCTTGCATTGGAAATTTCACTTCCAAATGTGTGAATAATGGCGCTTTACCTTTACATTTTTAACTTGATTAACATGTTTGGATAAATCATTTTGGCCAACTCTATGGTGAACCATTACATATTTTAAAATTTTATTTCCTTTCTTTCCTTCCTCATTTGAAGAGGACATCCCAATTGTGTTGAACGCACTATCATCTTATTAGTCAGATAGCTGCTATGATACACAGATTCCACATGAATATGCCACAAGAGACTTCACAGCATGAGATGAGATTTTATTCAATAGGTATCCAACATTGCACATAGTGACAATTTTGAAAGGCTTTGTTTTTAAAAGCAATTAAGAGTGATTTATTATTTTTGGAAATAAAGAACTCAGGAGGGGCAATATTAATTGCAAATGGATTTAAATTATTAATCTTGATAGTTGAACTCCTGTGACCAAACTGTAGAACTGTGAATAGTATTGAAAAACTAATGAGTTGTAGGTTTAGGATGTCTGGGTATGTACCTACATTCTTTGGAAATTCTAAACCCAAAATCTAAGTGATAAGGGAGAATCAGCCTCATCAAAGCACCTTCATGTGTGAGTGGGATTGTTGCAAAATACAAGAAAGTACACTCAAAAACATGAGGGCTTGCAGCAATCATTGTCACAGGTCTGACTGTTACCCTATAGGGTAACATAGATTTAGTGAAAGGGACAGTAACTTGCAAGGTTACCCACAGGCACAAATGATCATTTAATCATTTGGAAACATACTCCTCTGAGTGATTAGTATGGTATGTGTAATTCAGAAATCAAAAGATAAGCATCTATAAGTTATAATCTAACTTGAACAGAATAGGATGCTGATATTTCTAAGTTAGAATCAGAATCCCTACAGTGTGGAAACAGGCCCTTCGGCCCAACAAGTCCACACCGAACCTCAGAGCATCCCACCCAGATCCATCCCCCATGACCCACCTAACATGCACCCTCTACCTCCCTGGACACTACGCGCAATTTAGCATGGCCAATCCGCCTAACCTGCACATCTTCGGACTGTGGGAGGAAACCAGAGCACCTGGAGGAAACCCACGCAGACACGGGGAGAATGTGCAAACTCCACACAGACAGTCGCCCGAGGCTGGAATCGAACCCAGGTTCCTGGCGCTGTGAGGCAGCAGTGCTAACCACTGTGCCACCGTGTCGCCTAAGTTGTTGGAGAATACTGATGTTTGTAAATTACTTGAGGTATAATAAACTATTAATAGAATACGAAGAATACCAGATCAGAGCCTTGATCATTTTCTCCACTCAGACCGGTTCAGATTGGACTTTGGAATTAGATGTATAAGAGGGGTTCTCTAGCTACACTTCAGAGAAAGACATTCTCTAAAATTAGACAGGTACATGCAAGTCACTAAATGTCTGCTTGTACACGCATTTCTTAGAAAACAAAGAATGTGTTAGTGTTCTTAGATTTCACTTGCCCTGAAATTCAGCGTACCTATATGTAGTTTTAATTTTAAATGAAAGAGATTAATTTGTTCTCCTTAAAGAGGGGCAGACAGAAACTGGGGTTGAGGGGTTAGGAGGAAGATTTCTGAAACAAAGTCTTTGCTGACACCACTGATAATTTCTGACCATGAATAGTCACCTCTGATGGTCATTTTCATTCTGTGCATATGCAATAAAAAAGCCAATTTTAAAATACATTAAAGTACTATGCTTGACATTAAAATCTGATTCAAATCTTTTCATTTTTGTGTGTTTGCTAGCTTTTAATCAATATGTCAAAGATTTGTTCAGCATTTTATGCTTTGAATACACGTGCTCTTCAGTGTGTTATTTTCTAGAGCGTAGCACTCACTGTGCTCTCATGCTACAGTTGTGGTTGCATCAGGTGACATATTTCACTGGGGATAATGTTAATGAAGCGCACACATCAGATACCTTGTCTCTCGCTCTGCTTCAGGTAGGAGAACAGCTCCCCCAACACCCTGAGTTGATCTGATATTTTGGTGACAGTCCCTTTGATCATGATCCTCCCTCTGCCAGCTGCTTGCCCTGGTATGTGTGACCTCTGTTCATTCTCCAAGTCAAGAGGAATGCCAATTACTGTAACTTTTGGGTGCAACTGGTTGATGAAAAAGCCTTGAAATTAGTAGAATCAATATCTGACACAGTACAGCTTTAGCAATTTTGAAGAATATTAGAATGTACGAGTATTTAGTGCCATCATAGCAATAAGTAGCAAAAATCAGTAACCAATTTGAAAGTAAGCGATGATCTTTTTAAAAGGCACCAGTGGTAGTAACATTCTGCAGTTGAAGCGCGTGATTAAAAGAGACTATCAGCTGCAGCATTCAAAGTAGCAGTGCTGCATCAAAGCCAATGTCACACATCAACTGGAGTCATGATCTACCTGCACTGCATAATTACTCTGGGAACTCACTACATGTACCCTAATGGCCTCAACAATAGGACCTCTGGTATTTCCTCTACTAGAAATGAGCACACATGCTTCAGATGCCTTAAGTGAGTATTACAGACCTGAATTTTGCACCTTCACTCTGAGAAAAGTCTAATGCCTAGATTGGAATTGTAAATTGTAAAGTGATATAAAAGTATATTGTTATAACCAAATATCTTCTGAAAATATGCAGAATTTTAACCAAAGTTCCTTGCAAGTTTCTTTCAAATCAAACACTATCTTAACTTGAAAAAAATGTCACTATTCCTCTATTACTACTGGTTGAAAGCCACGAAAATCCCTCTCTAACAGCATCATGGGGGTTCTCATCCTCGACAATTGTTCGCTAACAAGAATGATTGTCCACCTGGAAAATTCTGTGTCACCAGTCATAGGTTCTGTAGATCCCTGAGTGACTGATGAGCCCAATCTCCAAGACCTACACCACACAGACTGCAGCAGATCAAGATTAAGGCTCATCACTAATTTCTCGAGCAATTAGTCATGAGCAATTAATGTTGGCATTGTCAGCAACATTTACATTCCAGGAACAAATTTTTAAAAATGCAAAACATTAATAAATTTCTAAAGCTTTCAAAAATCTAGTTTATAATGTATAGCCAATTTAATTGAATGTTACCTTCACAAATCGTACTGCAGAATAATAAATCCAGGTGATACAATTTGAGTCTCCAATACCAGGTCCTGATCTTTCTGGAACATTCCATCTATAGATCTTGACTTGACCTAGAATAATAACGGGATACTCTCATTTGAATTGAGATGTATAAAATGTTAAAAAAAATTACACAGAAAATAAAATACTTTCTGGCACAAATTTCCTTGATAGATTGTACCTAGAGATAGCTCATCCAGCAATGAGGTACAAGCCTGCCAAATATTACCAGTAAAAATTATTACGCTAAGGTATTAGAAGGAAATCAGAATATTTTCATCCAAAATAGGACTGACGCATAATGTAGAAGGAAATGTCACTGAAGCAACAACACAAGTTGGTTAAAAAAAAGTTGGATCACTTTCAGGAGAGACAGTTGCAGAGTGTTTGATCTACGAGAAATGGGACCAGGTTTCCTCTCATTTGGGGATGCCCAATCTGCAGACTGTGGGCCATGTACAGCCTGACAATATTTCATTGGGTCCAATATCTGTTTGACTGGTGGGTCATTTACAGCTCATTTACAAGATTCCAATAATTTAAAATTACATAATCATAGAATCCCTACAGTATGGAAACAGGCTCTTCAGCTCAACAAGTCCACATTGAACCTCAAAGCATCCCACCCAGACTCATCCCCCTATAACCCACCTAATCTACACATCCCTATGGGCAATTTAGCATGGCCAGTTCACCTAGCCTGCACATCTCTGGACTGAGGGAAACTGGACTATCCGAAGGAAACCCACGCAGACACAGAGAGAATGTGCAAACCGCACACAGACATCGCCCAAGGCTGGAATTGAACCTGAGTGCCTGGCACTGTGAGGCAGCAGTGCTAACCACTGAGCCACCCTGCTGCCCTTAACAAGAAGGATCATAGACCAGGAAAAAAGATCTAAAGAGAAAATTTATTTAGAAGATGACACAAAGAGCTGCTCCTCCAATCGGAGGTCCTTTTTCCCATGTGTGCTCCTGCAGGTTTATGCATGAGCCTATCAGCAGCAAGCTTGGGACAGAACCAGTCTGTGATTGGAAGAACCGTGAGCAGCCCAAAGTTTGGGGTCTGGGGATTGGAGGCTTTCAGAGAGACTCAGTCCTGGGAAAGAGGGGAAGGAGATGAGAGTCACAGTTTAGGGAGAATGCAACCAGAGTTGATGACAGAAGGAAACTGAGACTTGGGCAATGACTAGGCGAGGGAATGATAAGCTACTAGTTCAGTGCTGCTAATTGTGCCTTTACGTTGGAATAGGCCATTCAGTCCCTCAAGCCTGTTCTGCCATTCAATGAGATCATGGCTGATCTGTGGCTCAGTCCCCTTAATACCTCTGCTCAAGAAATTGTTATCTATCTCAGATTTAAAATTAACAACTGATCTGACATCCACTACCATTTGTGAAAGAGAATTCCATACATCTACCAATCTTTGTGTGTTGAAGTGCTTCCTAACATATTTCCTCAATTGTCTGGCCCTAATTTATATAGTATGCTCCAAATCTAGAATCACCAATTAGTAGAAATAGTTTATCTTTAGCTACAGTCTTTTCTTGTTAATATCTTGAAGACTTCAATAAGATCAGCTCTTAACCTAAATTCTAACAAAAACAGGCCTATTTAGTATGATTGTCTCTCATTACTTAACACCAGAAGTCCAGGTATCATTCTTGTGAACCTGCATTGTACTCCCTCCAAGGCCAATGCTTATCCAACAACAGACGTTACACTAATCAGAATTTTGTTACTCTTACCTGTAGGAAACCCACGCAGACATGGGGAGAACATGCAAACTCCACACAGTCATAGAACATAGAACATAAAACAGTACAGCACAGAAATGGGCTATTTGGCCCACGATGTTGTGCTGAACATGATGGCAAATTAAAATAATCCTTTCTGGCTGCCCTTGGTCCCTTTTCCTCCATTCCTTGTATATTCATGTCCTTATCTAAAAGTCTATTAAACGCCCCTATTGTATCTGCCTCCACCACCACCCTGGCAGCATATTCCAGACTCCTACCACACTCTGTGTATAAAAACTTGCCCCTTACATCTCCTTTGAACTTTAACCCTCTCATCTTAAATGCATGTCCCTAATATTAGATATTTCATCTCTGGGAAAAAGATTCTGACTGTCAACTCTATCTATGCCTCTCATAATTTTATAGACTTCTATCATGTCTCCCCTTAGCCTCCACCGCTCCACAGAAAACAACCCTAGTTTTTCTAGCCTCTGCTTATGGGTTATACTCTCTAATTCAGGCAACATCCTGTTAAATCTCTTCTGCACCCTCTCGCAAGCCTCCACATCCTTCCTGTAATGTGGTGATCAGAAGTAACAAAATTAATTTTCGCCTCCCTCCCATTTTGAATATGGATGTCATACTGGCATAATCTCGGAAACATACCCTTCGGTCCAACCAGTCCATGCTGAACATAATCCCAAACTGAACCAGTCCCACCTGCCTGCTCCTGGCCCATATCCCTCCAAACCTTTCTTATTCATGTATATATACAAATGTCTTTTAAATGTTGTAACTGTACCCACATCCACCACTTCCTCAGGATGTTCATTCCACATGTGAACAACCCGCTGTGTAAAAAATCTGCCCCTCATGACATTTTTAACTCTTTCTCTTCTCACCTTAAAAATGCACCCCTTGTCTTGAAATCCCCCGTCCTAGGGAAAAGAAAACTACCATTAACTCTATCTATATCCCTCATTATTTTATAAAATTTTATAAGGCCACCTCTCAACCTCCTAGGCGCCAGTGAAAAAAGTCCCAACCTATCCAGCCTTTCTTTACGACTGAAAACTTCCATACCCAGCAACATCCTGGTAAATCTTTTCTGAGCCCTCTCCAGCTTAATAATGTCCTTCCTATAACTAGGCAACCAGAACTGGACACAGTATTCCAGAAGTAGCCTCACCAATGTCCTGTACAACCTCAACATGACTTCCCAACTACTATACTCAAAGGACTGAGCAATGAAGGCAAGCGTGCCAAATGCCTTTTTAACCACCCTGTCTACACGTGATGCAAATTTCAAAGAATATGTACCTACACCCCTAGGTCCCTCTGTTCTACAACACTGCTTAAGGCCCTAGCACATATTGTATAAGCCCAACCCTTGTTTGTTTTGCCAAAATGCAATACCTCGCATTTATCCAGATTGAATTCTATCTGCCATTTTTCAGCCCATTGACCCATTTGATCAAGAATCCCTTTTGTAATCTTAGAAAACCTTCTTCACTCTCTTCTATGCCACCAATTTTGGTGTCATCCGCAAAGTTCCTAACCATGGCTCTATCTTTTCATCCAAATCATTTAAATAAATGACAAATTAAAGAAGACCCAGAACCAATCCCTGTGGTACACTGCTGGTGACAGCCCTCCAGTGTGAAAAGCAACCCTCCACCACCACTCTCTGTCTCTTGCATTAGACCAATAATGTATCCAATTGGCAAGCTCACCCTGAATCCCATGTAACCTAACTTTACTATTAAGTCTACCATGCGGAACCTAGTCGAAGGCTTTACTAAAGTTCAAGTAAACAACATCTACTGCTTTCCCCTCATCAATTTGATACTCCTCCAGAATTCAAGGATTTTTGGAAAATTACAACTAATACATATGCTATCTCTGTAGCTACCTCTATTAGGTTCCTCGAATAAAAGCCATCAGAGCCAGGAGACATATCTGCCTTTAGTCCCATTTGTTTGTCTAATACTACTTCTCTAGTAATGGTGATTGTACTTAATTCCTCCCCTATATTCTTCAGTATTGACGGATGTTCGAAGTATCACCGTAAAGAATGATGCAAAATATCTGTTTAAGTCCTCTGCCATTTCCTTGTTCACAAAACCATTTCCTCAAATTAATTTTCTCAGAGGCCTACGTTCACTTTGACATCCCTCTTCCTCTTTATATATTTAAAGCAGCTGTTATTGTTAGATTTTATATTCCTTGCCAGTTTGCCTGCATAGTTTATTTCTCTCTCTTTATTATCTTTTTAGACCATCTTTGCTAGATTCTGATTTTTTTTATTGTGGGATGTGGGGGCTGCTGGCTGCCCAGCATTTATTGCCCAATCTTAGTTGCCTGTGAGAAGGTGGTGGTGGGCTGACTTCTTGAGCCGCTGCAGTGTACCTGCTGTGGGTTGACCCACAATACCAATAGGGAGGGACTTCCAGGATTTTAAGCCAGCAACAGTGAAGGAACAGTGATATATTTCCAACTAAGAATGATGAGTGTCTTAGAGGGGAACTTGAATGTGGTGGTGTTCCCATGTATCTGCTGCCGCGTCCTTCTAGATAGAGGTGGTCATGGGTTTAGAAGATGCTGTTTGAGGATCTTTGCTGAATTTCTGCAGTGCATCTTGTAGATAGTACACACTGCTGTTACTGAGCGTCAGCTGTGGAGGGAGTGGATACTTGTGGATGTAATGCCAATCAAGCCACCTGCTTTGTCCTGGAATGTGCCAAGCTTCTTGAGTGTTGTTGGAGCTACACTCAACCAGGCAAGTGGGGGGTATTCCATCACACTCCTGACTTGTGCCTTATAGATGATGGACAGGCTTTGGGAAGTCAGGAAGTAAATTATTCATTGCAGTATGACCTGCTCTTGTAGCCACTGTGTTTATGTGGCAAGTCCAGTTGAGTTTCTGGTGAATGATAACCCCTGGAGTGATGATAGTGGGGATTCAGTGATGGAACACCTCTGAATGTCAGAGTCATAGAGTGACAGAGTAATATAGAATGGAAACAGGCCCTTCAGCTGAAACTGGTCCATGCTGACCATAGTGCCCACTCAGCTAGTTCCAATTGCCTGCTTTTGGTCCATATCTCTCTAAACCCTTCTCATCCATGTACCTATCCTAATGTTTTTTAAACATTGCTATTGTACCTGCCTCAAACACTTTCTCTAGCAGCCCATTCCATATACGCACCACTCTCTGCGTGAAGACATTGCCCCTCAGGTCCTTCTTAAATCTATCCCTTCTCATCTTAAACCTATGTCCTCTAGTTTTCAATTCCCCATCCCTGGGAAAAAGACAATATGCACTCACTCTG